TGTGTGTGTGTGTGTGCACGTTTGGGTAGAATTGAAACATCTTATGGTCAATAGAGAATGAATTAACTTTCGATCTGTAAGTTTCACAATAAACAAACATACTTATATTTGATTGACTAAATTGATTAGGAATATTAAATATCATTGCCCACCTATCTCGTCTCCTCTGTGCACCAGACCCAGTTAACATCGAGGGGAACGCAGAGTCGGCTCGAGTGATGGGTCTGATGCCCTGGATGGATTATGAATTCCAGGTCATTGCCAGCAACATCCTGGGCAGCGGAGAGCCCAGCATGCCCTCACACACCATCCGCACACAGCAAGCAGGTGAGGGGCCTCAGTAGGCGGCACACACTCCTTGAATCCCAATGGCAACTGGTCCCTGCCGGTCATTTTGCATTTAACCAAAGTTAAATGCAAAAGAGCTACTTACTTACGCAAGTAGTTCAGGGGCAGTAGGTTTTTTTCAGTAAGCATATGCAGAAAAGTTTGTTCTGAAGTTCATATGATTAGGATCAAATAGAAACATCATTGTCATAAAAACTGCTAAATAAAACATCATTAAACTTAAAAAAATAAAAAAAGGAAGCCGGTACATTATATGACTGTTTATGAGCAAATGTCCTGGAAAGTTCCTGAAAAATGACAGAGAGTGGGGACCCTGTTCTGATATTATATTATTATTGAATATTGTTTCACTATGAACAGTTCTTTAAAAAAAGATTTAAAATCGATGCTATACAACCCTTGCCTTTTATCACTCATTCTGATCTATGCCTACATTACCCACGATGCAACTTGACCTCGATGACTTTTCTATTAAAGGCAGAATATGTCGTTCCAACCAAAGATGTTTCCGCCTATAATACTTTACACTGGTTCACTTTATAAATATATATATATATATATGTGGCCCTCAGCTCCCACAGTGGCCCCCAGTGGACTTGGAGGAGGAGGAGGAGACCACAATGAACTCATTGTTACCTGGACGGTGAGTGGTTTGTATATATCGTACACACATGGTTCACTGGAGATATTATTTGGGTCACAAATAAATGTGCAGAACTTCTTTCTCCTGCTAAATGCACTAATTTGATCTCAATTATAAAATATGTACATTGTTTTGCTGATGATGGAAAAGATTGTTAGGATAACAGTTAACTGAAATGCATTTATTTAGTCTTATTTCTAAAGTATTTCAAATGTGTACATTGTTTTACTGATGAAGTAAAAAATTAGAGCTTTAACTTTTTCTAAATGCACAGATTTTGTCTCATAAAGTGGGCGCATATTATTTTATTTAGTTTCCTGTATTATTACAGATTTAAAATGTGTATTGTTTTACTGATGATGAAGTTCTGCTTTATCAAACATATATCTCTTCAGTATGGGTATTACCTGTTGAAGAAAATATGAGGTGATGCAGAAATAGCAGGAAAAATGCTCAGGAACATTCCTTCTTCTAACTGTGAATTGGGTTGCCATGGTTTCAATTTGGAGTAATTCGTCCAGTCAGCATGGCCATCTAGTTAGCTACATCACTCTAGTCAATAAGGGTATGTGAAGTTTGGAAACAGAAAGAAAGGACATTAAATACCTCAACCTTGATTCAACCGGAAAAGTAGATTGTGAACGCCTTAGATCATGATCTTTGTGTCCGCCCACTCAGTGTTTTCTTAAGGGACAGTAAGAATGAGAGGGATCTAACTCCGAATGCATTTTTGCACAGAATGAGGACTGTGGATCTTGTTCCCAATCACTTACACAGCACATTACAGTAGTGTTCTCCTAATGGTCAGTATGTACAGAAGGCACCTGACAGTTGTTTTTCTTATCCAGAATGAAACCTGTGCACAAAGGGCTCAGAAATTCTGTCCTGTCTAAGTAGATGTTCACACCTTAACATTCTGCGGACCCTTCTAGCCCATGGCCAGAGAGTACCAGAACGGCGATGGCTTTGGCTACGTCCTGGCATTCAGGAAGAAGGACACGTCATCTTGGACGGTGGTGCGTATACCTCACGTGGAGTCTTCCCGATACGTTTACTACAACGACAGCCTGACTCCATACAGCCCCTTTGAGGTGAAGATCAAGGCTTATAACCGCAGGGGGGAAGGTCCTTTCAGCCAGATCGCTGTGGTCCACTCTGCAGAGGAAGGTGAGTCACTAAAATATACTCCTTTTGGGTAGGGGTCGATCTATTTGGGTGGCTGCACAAATGATCTCTATTTGGGAAATACAGCTTTGCACACATGATTTGTGTTTTAATGCAGTTTTTTGAGTATGTTGAGTCAGATTTTATCATTATGTGACAAACTATAATGGTTCCACAGGACCAGCCGGGTACCGATGTTAATCAAACCCTGAGCCAATTCTCTCAATCCATCTCCATGCACAGTCTCATACACTCTGATGTCCCAGAAAGGTGTATTGTCAACAGCACAGCAGATGTGCTCCTGCTGCAGCTGTATGTTTCCTCTGAGAGGATGTGCCAGCTTGTGGATTCACAACAAAAGAAAATCCTGGCAGCTGATTAGGCTTGATGATATTTAACTGATTTAAATATTAAAGATGCACTTTCATTTCTGATTTCTTCATAAAAACAACACATTTTTATTCTCACCCACTGCCCAACAAACCAAAACACTGCAGTATTTGCTGTCCCTAGAGGACCACCACAGTCAGCTCACTTATGAACTCACTGACAGTAAAATGAACACGGCTGTCAGTCTGTACCTCTGACTACGCTGCATATTCTGACCTCTCGCTCTCACAGAGCCAACGGTGGGACCGTCCAGCATCAATGCCACGGCGCTGACCGCCTTTGAGATCCAGGTTTCATGGGAGGCCGTCCAGCAGCTCAGCGCCAACGGCATCCTCAGAGGATATGAGGTAACGAGCCGCATGAATACACATCTGGATGTTCGCCCCACACAGACGGCTATAACTGACAGCCAAAAATAAGACAAGAAAAAGTGATTATGTGACATGCATTGTTGCTCAACAGCATCTCACTACACCATAAAGCAGCAACAACACATCATGTGCATATCTGACGTAATGAGGTGCACTCAGGGACATTTGTGCTCCCTTTGTTGTGAAAACATGTATTTTGGCCCATGTCCTTCAGCTGGACCTGTCTCTGTTTTTGATTAGAATTTCTCACTTAACATGCACACTACTGCTTTCCCACTATTATTCCAAGTATGACAATATTGAACATCTAATAACGGTCACATAAACAGCATATTTCTTTGGATATTTCTAATTCCAAATGGAGCATTTTCCGATTAATGTGTTCCGATATGTGGCATATGGTGATATTATATATATATTATATTATTTTAGGAGCATTCTTTAAACATGTATACTATACTATGTATATATATATAATATGCGTCTCATTTTAGGTTTTTACCTGTTGGAGTCATTTTTCCAGAGGAGTGAGTGAAATAATAATTAGGCAAACAGCCTAATAATGATCAAATTTACATTGTTGTTATGGTTGATAAATACATGCTCAGTGATGTTAATTGTATGTGCAATGTACTTTAACTTTCTAGAAGACGAATCTTCTGTAAAATAAAATCAATTCTACTTGATTTGGGCTGTGGCTAAATGAATGTTAAGGTTAGAGGAAAACTTTAAATTAGCCAATTTACCCGAAATCACAGCTTATATGACTAGTGCTGTCTTGTATTGTCAAGAAAAACTCGTGAAAAATGTTCTGGAATATGATTTTTTAAAAAGAGTGGGAAACCTGATTATGAAAAACTTTATGGAGCAAATATCACAACGCCAACCTTTTCAAAGAGATGGTTGAGAGGGAGGCTGTGGTTGGACGGTCGAATGCGTCCTGCACCAGTTGACAACTTCAATGAGGTATAATGGCTCAAGCAGCTCCAGCTGTTCCACTTTTAACACAGAGCAACATGAGGAAATTCCCCTGTAGGACGTCCAGTACGTCATTAACAGTTAATCGGGTGCCTTGTTAGCTCAGTGGGTAGAGCTG